CAACGGCGAGAGTACGAAGGGTGAGCCTCATGACAATTAAGGCAAGAGGGAGGTCGATTGCAAGATGTATTAGAATGGTCATCGGCACCACAGACTGGGCATTCGGCTATAGATCTGCAATATTTTGCTGGATGGCCAAATCGCCAGCACTTTCTACTGTTGCGGTGTAGGGATCACCTTTCGAACATGTAACCGATGTCCTGCTACATAAACTGAGGATGAGAGTTCACAGCTGTCAAAAATTAAACGAGCCACATTGCTAGGGTATCGTCTCCGCCCGCGGGCAGGAAGAACATAAGTGTCTACCTTGAGGATTGGGAGATCTTGGAGTTCCAGCTGTTCAAGAATGTCATTGCCACATGTCTGGAAATTTTGTTGAACTATGGTATGGGGCAGAATGACGGTACCACTACAAGAATTGAGGGAATGATGTTTTTCAACAGTGACAGGAACAGTATCGATATGGGAAAGAAGAGAAAGATCACGAGCTTGGGTAGCATTCTGTACAGTGATGATGCGTGTACCACTCTTAAGAGCATGAAAAGAAATATCTTTACCAACATGGCATAGGAGTGCCTTGCCAATACTATGGTCGGAAAGATAGGCAATAGAGGAAGTCGGTCGTAAAGTGAAGAATTTAAGTCCATTGTGCATTCTGAAACTGAGCATGGAAAGGGAGTGTAGGACGTGTCGATCTTTTCTGAGAAGAACGAGAAGGTGGAGAAGTATCATCAGCAGGTAATTGTCGTTGGCGTTTAGGAGTGGGACCAGAGTTGGTCCGACATGGAACGGGCCGGCGATTCAAAAATTGCCGCACCGTAGAGGAAGAGGCCGGAAGCATAGTCAAAGGAGAGCGGAGGTCAAATAAATCGAAGGAGTCAGTCGAGACCTCAGTACCTGAAGTGGGTGAGGAAACAGCACCAGCAAGAGGTACAGAGGCATTAGGAGTGTCCGAAGAGTGGTCCAAAGACGACGCAGGGTCAGAACGGGGTGCGGTATCAAGAAGGGGCCCGGGGGTAGCAGGTTCATGGACTAGGGCTTCCATGGTTAGGTTACTTCTTTCTTTTTGTTTTTAAGAAAAAAAAAGAAAGAAGAAAAGAAAATAAAAATAAAAAAAAGAATAGAAAAAGGGGGGACCGGGGAGGGATAGTTCCTAGGAGGAATGAAAGGGCCAGAAATCTCCCTCCGCGCCCAAGAGGACCTCAGCACCGCAAGTAGTGCAGATGCAGCATGGAACCCGTGCCATACCCTACCCATCATGCCAGTAAACCAGCAATCCGGGATAGCAACCTCGCATCTGCCGAGCTACCTTGGTGGACAAAAGAGAGGGCGGCCGGATATCCACCACAAAGCATACCTCCTTCAGCCACCACCCCCGGAATCCGAAAGGTGGCTTCCAGAGATACACCCATCGCCCGAAAGACACCCAAAGCCACCCTCCAGGATACCGGAGAGGGATCGGGACATCCCCAGGCAATCCAGATTCCACGGCAAACTACGCCACCGCCAAAGACCTCAACGGAATGGGATGGACCCCGGTACCCTTTCCTCTACCTAGGAACTAGTGTGCCTGTGGGAAAAAATCCCAAAGGCCAAAAAGGAAGGGCAAAAGGGAGGGGTGGGGAGGAAAGGAAAAAGGGGAGGATGGGAGAGGGAAGGGGGGATTGGGGGGTAATTAGGTTCAGTCTGAGGAAGGAGACCGACAGGTCTAATTCCTCAGACCAAGAGCCTCTTCACCATGCCAAGGAGCCCCCCTTGAAGAGGTTCTATGGTATAGTTTGCCAATGTAATAAATAACTTTCATACCCTAACAACATGTGTGAGTTATATATGACATACTGAAAGACTGTGAGCAATGAAATATCTAGGAAATGATGAAAACCCATTAGCCAGACATACTGGTACTGTTTGGGGCTAGGAAAAACAGTAACTGCATTTTGAAGAATGGATGGGAATGTAGAATTTCTATGCATTATTTACATTCTCATCTCCATGCACCTCTGGAAAGCGAGTGATGACGAAATATTGGGATCTATCTTTATAATTATTGAACTTTTAACTGTTTCTTAATGTTACTAAAATGCAAATTATGGTATGTAAATGATTCAATATAATTCTTTGGTATTGAAACATACATACAAGGTGTTTAGTAAATATGTCTAGTCATTATTTTCAAAAGTTACAACATTCTTTGTTTTCAGAATATGATGTAGATACATTATATATTTATGGAATGGAAGAAAATGAAAGACAGAAAACCTTATATTATTAAAACCTTTGGTTAAACATTGGTCTGCATTAAAATAAACTTGAAAGGTAACTTCCATTTACAAAATAACTGCAATTTCATGTTGCAACTGTGTAAGTTTATCTTTAAATACACCGACTTTGAAATAAGAAAAGCATAATCTACCTGTATCAAAATTGGTCCCCTTTGGCACAAAAAACTGTGTCTGTTTCACAAGATAAAAATAGAAAATGATAACATACAAGCCTATAATAACACATAAATAATGCAGTTATGTTTAATGTGATAAAATCCTCTAGACCTTGAAACACCTTTCATTAGGTATTGTAGTTATTCCACTGCCACTGTTTATACAGTCATAATCATAAATCTCATGACAAAAATAAAAATGCATTATTCCACTACAGTATATGTTATTAACACTTAATTCAACTCCTTTATTTGGAGGGGTTACCCACACAACACAAATTTCTTTCCCCACATCTACACTTGAACATAATGTTGAATCATCTATTGATACTGTCAATACAGTACCTGTACATATAGTTATATCTACTATTTTTCATTCATCTGTATACAGTACAGTATATGTACTACATCTCCTTCAGCAGGCATAGGTAACATCTGTATTGTTTAACATAAAATACTGAAAAAATTTACACAATATGCAACATTATTTAGAGGAAAAAAATCATCACTGGAATGAGTAAATTAATTTATACAAATATTTCAAACCAGTAAAGAAAGAATAGACATTATCACAAACATATAGTATTGATTTTACTTCAGATGTGATTCTAATATCAATTATAGTGTTTCCAACTTTTGCAATTTTGTCAACACATCACTGATCTAAAAAGTAATCTAGATCACATACATTATGTATAGTAGTGTCACTTTTCCAAATGTAGTACTGTACAGTATTAAATTAAAAGACTGATGAATACAAAATAATATTGTAACAATAATCAAATGGTTTTTTAGTATTTTTTAAATACAGTACAGAGCATCATCAGAAAAGACCAAAGTTGCAAAAATCCTAAGTAATTATAATTATCATTCCATTTAACAAATGGCTATTCAGTATGAATAATATGAACACCCACCCAAGACTATTTAAATGAAATGTTACATATGTTGTATCTATTATATATCAACTATGTACTTATTAGCAGAAAAATACACAAACCAAATCAAGTGGGGTCACAGCATTTGAAATACAAACTGTAAAAAGCTATAATATATTAATGTATACTTTCATAAAGACAGACTCCTAGATTACAACGTATCTAAATACTGTGTTTGGTATTTTGTACAAGTGCATTTGGTTTTATGAACATTTTGAACTATAATTACTATATACAAGCATACCCTGATTAACATTTCACATTAGTTCCAAGATTGTGGAATGTTAAATAGGTAGCAATAAAAGGGGTTTAAAACATCTGGGAAGGAAACAAAGTACCAAAGAGAAAATAACCAACCCTTAATTTACTGTACTTACATGGTAGTACCAATGCTATTTAATACATGCCAAATGGCCATCCATACTTGTAACACTCACCATATCTAACAGTCAGTATGATGCATGTTGTTACTTTGTAGCTAACTGTAACAGCAAGTGAGAAAGCAGGTAACAGATGATGGCAAACAGCCAGGTGGAAGGTGATAGTGAACAGTCAGAGGGCAGTGAGCATTCAAATTGCAGCACGTGGTGATGGTGAGCAGTCAGGTGGCATGTGATAGTGAGTAGTCAGATGGAAGGTGATGGCAAGCAGTCAGATGGAAGGTGATGGCAAGCAGTCAGATGGAAGGTGATGGTGAGCAGTCAGGTAGCCAGTAATGGTGAGAAGTCAGGTGGTATGTGAGGGTAAGCAGTTGGGTGTTTATTTTAAAACTCAAGAGTAAACAACCTGTTTTTTCCACGTATAATATCAGTGGTGTAACCAATTTATCCAGTTTAATTCAGCAAAATAACATGTTTCTCAACATGAAAGAAGATAAGTGTATAGGTGCCCAGCTCCAATGAGCTAACTCGACAAGCTAAACTCATCATCATCACTAAGCCTCTCTGATTCCTATAAACATTTTTAAAACTTTCACCTTATTTCAACTTCCAAATGCACAAAATATTTCATTGAGGTATTTACTAACAAATTTCAAACAAAAATATCTTGTAACATATGCCAAGCTAGTTATACAGTATAATGAACTTGCATATTAATTTGAGGAATACTTATTCATTAAGAATAATTCCAAAGAATAGGAATTTTATTGCTACTTTTTTTTTTTTTAAATATACTGTACTTCTTATTTACCTTACCCAGGGATTGCATTTGTTTCAAACTGCATTAAGACAAACTATTAATAAGTATTTGTTGAGAAAATATAAATGGTATGCAGGATGAGATGTTGTGAGCACTGGGCAAACTCAAACATTTGAATTTCAGTAAGAAATGCCTTTGTAATGAATGGTTTTGAAAACCGACAAGTTGAAGATTGAGACACTTATGCACCATATGGGAATCTTTATTTCGGAAACGTTTCGCCACACAGTGGCTTCATCAGTCCAATACAAAGCAGAGAGGTGCAAGAAGAGGCGGAGATTGAGGTAATCAGTCCCTCAGCCTGGAGTCGATATGTTCAGTTCATCAGTCTTGTAGAATATATTGTAGAATATATTGTATATTCTAGAAGACTGATGGACTGAACACATCAACCCCAGGCTGAGGGACTGATTACCTCAATCTCCTCCTCTTCTTGCACCTCTCTGCTTTGTATTGGACTGATGAAGCCACTGTGTGGCAAAACGTTTCCTAAATAAAGATTCCCATATGGTGCATAAGTGTCTCAATCTTCAAGAAATACCTTAAAATGCTTCATGCATATAGTATAAGAAAACAAAAACCTGAATCGAACAGAAAAAAATTACATAGCACCTTAACACATTTTCAGTTACCAAAATTCAGGTGAATGCTGCTGCTACTCGTGCAACAGCAAATATACTGAATATTCATATACTGTACTATGTATGTATATAGTACACAGCAAAAAATCCACAGACTCAGTATCATCTTAAACAATATAATCAAGAGATATTTTAATTCTGGTGTACTCAGAGGCAGGTGCTTGACAACCAAATCTTTGGAATTTCCAAGTTCTTAATATGATGAAGTACATTTTTTTTTACATCACACTGGCTGTCTTTCACCAAGGCAGGGTGGCCCCACCCCCCTTCAAAAAAAAAAAAAGGCACATTCACCATCATTCATTCAATAAGTGTCTTTCCAGAGGTGTGTAGACATCACAGTTTGAATGGCCCCTTCCAAGCAGTAATATCACCACCCCTGCTTCAATATGCAAGCACTGTACCTCTCACTTCAGCTCAAGTCTGGCTAACTGGTTTCCTTAAATCCCTTCATGTTACCTTGTTTACATTCCAACATGTCTAAATACCTAAAACCACTTGCTGGACATTTAAGCCCCTACCACTTAAAACCTCCTTTACACCCTCCTTTCAATCTTTCCTAAGATGATCTCTACCCTTCCTGCCTTCCACTTCTGCTCCATTCTTCTAAATGCCCAAACCATCTCAACTAATCTCTGGCTAATAAAGTATCTTTTATAACTCTACACCATCTTTTAATTTCTGCAAACTAATTTCAACACTCCACCTACTTTCTTCTATGGTTCACCTCATTTTTCAGACCCATCTATCAACATATCCACTACAAAATATCTAAATATATTCACTTTCTCTATACTCCCTCCTCCCAATCTGATATCCAATTTTTTTATTGCTTAAACTCTTTATTATTCATATCACCTTGCTCTATTCCGTGTTCACTCTTAGCTTACTTCTTTCATACGCCCTCCCAAAGTCATCCACAAACATTTGTAACTTCTCTTCAGAATCTCCCAAAAGAAGTGACATCAACTAAGAACAAATGTGACAAATCCTATTTCATGTCATGTTAATTATCTTTTAATCACACACCTCTCTCCAACACCCTACCATTTACTTGTTTTACAACCCCTTCTATAAATATATTAAACTGTGGTAACATCAGACATCCCTGTCTAAGACCTAATTTTGATGGAAAATGGTCCATTTCTTTCCTATATATACTATCTTGAGCTCACTCTATCATAAAAAGTTTTTTACTGATGTACTACCTATTCCATACATATGCAACATCTACCACACTGCTTCACTATTCACCCTATCATGAGCCCTCTCTAAATCCAAAAATATAACTAAACAGTTTCTTATCCTTATCTAAGTATTGTTTATGTGCAACAATATAAATACTTGGTGTATACATCCCCTACCTTTCTTGATTCCTTCTTGTTTCTCTACAATCCTGTCTGTTTATTGTCCTATACAGTAGTTCTTACTCTCTTGTCCCCCATTCTCTAATACAAAGGAACTATGCAAGCTCTCTGTAAATCCTCTCATGTATATATTGAACAAATAGACCAACCACACCAGAACTATAACACCACCAGCTTTTAACATCTCAGTTTTAATCTCATCTGTCCCAGCTGAACTACCCCCCCTCTTATTCAACCTACTGCCTCGTACACTTTTTCCACACTCACTTCTGACTCTTCCATACTCATACCAGATATTATTCTTCCCTGCTCAAGGCATGATATCACTGCCTCCCTTTCATCATCAACATTTAGTAACTCCTCAAAATTATCTTCATTGTTTCGGTGCATTCTCCTCCCCATTAAACATCCTCCCTCTTCCATTTTTATCTGGCAACTCCATTTGCTCTCCAGGCCTTTTTAGCATACAGCCTCTCATCACTCAACAATGGAGTTCTGTTCCTAAGACCACGTTGGTAAATGAATTCATCGTTACATGAGAAGCATACTATAATGGTAGTGGGTTTGTGTCAACCATCTTTGATATTGTTTTAATGTCACCTTTGCACCATTTATAACATTTCTGGTATATTTTTAAATGTTTATACAGTAATGTATTGTATATTGTAATAATCAGAATAGAGGAAATCAACTCTAATATACATTATATAGGTATGCATACTGGTCAGAGAACCCGTCCTAAGTCCGAGTCGTTGGTAAACGAGTATGTACATCTCTAAATGAGGAGAGGCTGTATTAATTTATCTCCAAAAGTACTCCTCATTCTTAGAAGAATTTGATGATAAATACCCACTCATTCTTCCACTGGTTCTTCTTCTGCACTCATTCACCATTCATTTTACCTCACTTTTTTCTCTCAATATATGCTACCTTCCATACATCATTTTTTCATTGTAAAAAAACTCTCATACGCTAACTTTTTCTTCCTTTCCAACATTTTTAAGTCATAAATAAATATATACATACATACACTGTGTATAAAAACATACATGTATCTATGTGCTCATAAATAAAATATATATTTTAGACAATCAAATTTTGCAAAGTACAGTACTAAAATAAGACCTGCAATATATATTAATTTTCATATCTTACTAAAAACCTACTACCAATCTGGAAGAATGTTGAATTTGTCTGAACACACTACTGCGCTGAACTTTTCTCACCTCTACATTTCAACCTTGCAGATATGAATCATAAGACTATATGAAAAGGCTATTAAGCTGTACTAATGGTATCACAATAAATCTAGAGTCAACGTAAGCTCAACTACAATTCATGTGATTACCACCACACAAGCCCTACTGATATTTCCAGAGATATAAAACATGCTACATCTGATAGCATTAAGCAAAACTTGTACTTCAAGACTGATTCTGATCCATGTGGACGGAAAAGTGCAAATTTAAGTATGATAACATACTCTCAGACCTCAGACGTAGTCTCTCTGCTAAGGTAGTGGCTTCATCCAGGGAAACCATCAATTCATGTGCACTGCCCTGTATGTAAGGAAAATGATTAGGAGGAAATTAAGTTGTATTAGAACATTAGCAAATGTGAAAGCTTTGCAAAAACAGATATTGTACTGTACAACAAAGCATTACTAATAAAAGACCCACTATAAATTATGTTATTGCTGTATTACCATATTTGTATTACAGTACAGTATAGTATTATACAGTACTGTACAACTTATGTTATTAGTACAAGTATATCTGTCAATAACCGTCAAGGCTTCTGGCTAACTTTACTTCTGTATTTGGTCACACCAGTTTCACCCTTGATCATTTTATGGAAGGATGCCCCTCCACTCTGCAAGGACTACTAATGTATGTCAACTGTTCAACATCATTTGATAAACTGTCCAAAATATCAGAACATATTTACTTTAAATTAAGTTTCTATTAAATATTATGCCATGCTTATTCTCTCTGCCCCTTTCTAAAAGTATAATACTATGCTGTACAGTACTATATTTAATGTAGATTCTATCTATGGCTGTTCATCTGTGACTGAACAGTTTTACTAAACCTAAACACTTGATTCTTGTAAAAAAATTCTCATTCTCATTCTCATTCTCTCTCTCTCTCTCTCTCATTCATTCATTCATTCATATTCTCATTCTCTCTCTCTCTCATTCTCTCTCACTCTCATTCTCTCTCACTCTCTCTCATTCTCTCACTCTCTCATTCTCTCACTCTCTCACTCTCTCACTCTCTCACTCTCTCATTCTCTCATTCTCTCATTCTCTCACTCTCACTCTCACTCTCACTCTCTCTCTGTGCACCCTACTTCTGATGCTTTTATCTAGGATAGTTGTTTCTATATACCATGCAGTGCTAACCTTCATGAATTTAGTTTTTTTTTTCTTTAACACATCAGCCATCTCCCACCAAGGCAGGGTGACCCAAAAAAGAAAGAAATACTTTCACCATCATTCAACACTTCACCATCATTCGCACATAATCGCTATCTTTGCAAAGATGATCAGATACAACAGTTTAGGTGAAGCCATTCTCCCCACATCCATTTCCATACAATACTACCCATGCTACTTGTCATGAGAGAAAAACTTTGAATTAATCATTCTCATTTTTTACTTTTTTTTCCCATAATTTGTATACAGATATTACATATTATAAGGTATTTCATTCTTTCTTTTACCATGTGTGTTCACTATAACTCTCATTTCAATATAAGTCCTACTTTATAAAGATTACGAAACATATCTCCAGTAAAAAAACTTTTCCTTTATCATTACTATTAAGTTAATGACTTTGTCTCCTAATTATGTAAAAGCAAAAGTTATTCTGAATGTAGAACTATAATACCTCTGTCAGTGATCCTCACATGCTCTATGTTCCACCAAGCTCCTATATTCTTTCAAATGGATAAAGCTCATTTTTTTTTTATCAAGTTGGCCATCTCCCACTGAGGCAGGGTGACCCAAAAAGAAAGAAAATTCCCAAAAAAAGAAAATACTTTCATCATCTTTCAACACTGTCACCTCACTCACACATAATCAATGTTTTTGCAGAGGTGCTCAGAACACAACAGCCCAGAAGCATATACAGTACGTATAAAGATATACAACATATCGCTCCAAACTGCCAATATCCCAAACCCCTTCTTTAAAGTGCAGGCATTGTACTTCCCATTTCCAGTACTCAAGTCCAGCTATATAAAAATAACCGGTTTCCCTGAATCCCTTCATTAAATATTACCTTGCTCACACTCAAACAGGTCGTCAGGTCCCAAATACCATTCGTCTCCATTCACTCCTATCTAACATGCTCATGCATGCTTACTGGAAGTCCAAACCCCTCACCCACAACACTTCCTTTACCCCTCCCTCCACCCTTTTCGAGGACGACCCCTACCCCACCTTCCTTCCCCCTACAGATTTATACGTTCTCCATGTCATTCTACTTTGATCCATTCTCTCTAAATGACCAAACCACCTCAACAACCCCTCTTCAGCCCTCTGACTAATACTTTTATTAACTCCACACCTTCTCCTAATTTCCACACTCTGAATTCTCTGCATAATATTTACACCACACATTGCCCTTAGAAGGACATCTCCACCGCCTCCAACCGTCTCCTCATTGTAACATTTACAACCCAAGCTTCACACCCATATAAGAGTGTTGGTACCACTATACTTTCCTACATTCCATTCTTTGCCTCCGCAGATAATGTTTTTTTGTCTCCACATATGCCTCTATGCACCACTCACCTTTTTTACATAAGAACATAAGAAAGGAGGAACACTGCAGGAGGCCTGTTGGCCCATACTAGGCAGGTCCTTTACAATTCATCCCACTAACAAAACATTTGCCCAACCCATTTTTCAATGCCACCCAAGAAATAAGCTCTGATGTGAAAATCCCACTCAAATCCAACCCCTCCCACTCATGTACTTATCCAACCTAAATTTGAAACTACCCAAAGTCCCAGCCACAATAACCCAACTAGGTAGACTGTTCCACTCATCTACTAAGACTGTTCCACTTCATCAATTCTATGGTTAACCTCATCCTTCATAAATCCATCCGCTGACACGTCAACTCCCAAATATCTGAAAACATTCACTTCTTTCATACTCCTCCTCTCCAATTTGATATCCAATTTTTCTTTATCTAAATCATTTGATACCCTCATCACCTTACTCTTTTCTATGTTCACTTTCAACTTTCTACCTTTACACACTCTCCCAAACTCGTCCACTAACCTTTGCAACTTTTCTTTAGAATCTCCCATAAGCACAGCAAAAAGTAACTGTGTCAATTCCCATTTTGTATTTGATTCCCCATAATTTAATCCCACCCCTCTCCCCAACACCCTAGCATTTACTTCTTTTACTTACCCCCAGGAAGTAGTCTCCCTCTCTTCTACACATCCTAACCTGAGCCTCACTATCCTCGTAAAAATTGTTTACAGCATTTAGTAACTTACCACCTATTCCATATACCTGCAACAACTGCCACATTGCTCCCCTATCCACTCTATCATATACCTTTTCTAAATCCATCAAATGCAATGAAAACTTCCCTACCTTTATCTAAATATTGTTCACACGGAGGCTTCAATGTAAACACTTGATTTACACATCCCCTACCCACTCTAAAACCTCCTTGCTCATCCGCAATCCTACATTCAGTCTTGCCTCTAGTTCTTTCAATAATAACCCTACCATACACTTTTCCTGGTATACTCAGTAAACTTATTCCTCTATAATTTTTACAATCTCTTTTGTCCCCCTTCCCTTTATATAAAGGAATTATACATTCTCTCTGCCAATCCCTAGGTACCTTCCCCTCTTTCATACATTTATTAACCCGTAAACAGTCCAAGCAAATCTACGTTCACATGTGTAGTGCTACAAAAGTAGATCTACGTTTTTTTTTTACATATTTTCAAATATAACAAAAAAAAAAGTAGATCAAAGTTTTTTTTACACATTTTCAAATGTAGAAAAACAAAAAGAAGATCTACTTTTTTTACATACCCTCAAATGCTGAAAAAACGTATATATACGTTTGGACCGTTTACGGGTTAAACAAAAATACCAACCACTCCAACACTATATCCCTCCCCTGCTTTTAACATTTCTGTCATGATCCCGACAGTTCCAGCTGCTTTACCCCCTTTCATTCTACATAATGCCACACGCACCTCCCTCACACTTGCATCCTGCTCTTCTTCACTCCTAAAAGATGTTATACCTCCCTGGCCAGTGCATGAAATTACCACCTCCCTTTCTTCATCGACATTTAAAAGTTCCTCAAAATATTCCCGCCATCTCCCCATCTACTAACTCCCTCATTCTGTTTTTAACTGACAAATCCATTCATTCCCTAGGCTTTAACTTGTTTATCTCACTCCAAATTTTTTTCTTATTTTCATCAAAATTTCTTGACAGTGCCTCTCCCACTCTATCATCTGCTCTCCTTTTACACTCTCTCACCACTCTCTTCACCTTTCTTTTAATCTCCATATACTCTGCTCTTCTTATAGCACTTCTGCTTTGTAAAAACCTCTCATAAGCTACCTTTTTCTCTTTTATCACACCCTTCCTTCACTTCATCATTCCACCAATTACTCCTCTTTCCTCCTGCACCCACCCTCCTATAGCCACTAACTTCTGCCCCACATTCTAATACTGCATTTTCAAAATGATTCCAACTCTCTTCAACCCCCCCCCCCCCCACTACTCATACTTGCACCAGCCCACCTTTCTGCCAATAGTCGCTTATACTCACCCGAACTTCCTCCTCCCTTATTTTATACACTTTCACCTCTCTCTTACTTGTTGTCATTTTCCTCTTGTCCCATCTACCTCTTACTCGAACTGTAGCTACAACTAAATAATGATCCGATATATCAGTTGCCCCTCTATAAACATGTACATCCTGAAGTCTACACATCAACCTTTTATCCACCAATATATACTCTAAGAAACTACTTTCATTACGTGCTTTATCATACATTGTATATTTATTTATCCTCTTTTTCATAAAATATGTATTACTTATTACCAAACCTCTTTCTACATATAGCTGAATTAAAGGCTCCCCATTTTCATTTACCCCTGGCACCCTAAATTTACCTACTACTCCCTCCACAACATTTTTACCCACTTCAGCACTGAAATCCCCAACCACAAGTACTCTCACACTTGGTTCAAAACTCCCTACACACTCACTCAACATTTCCCAAAGCCTCTCTCTCTCTCCTCTACACTTCTGTCTTCTCCAGGTGCATATACGCTTAGTATAACCCCCTTTTCACATCCAATCTTTATTTTACTCCACATAATCTGTGAATTAACACATTTATACTCCCTCTTTTCCTGCCATAGATTATCCTTCAGCATTTTTGCTACTCCTTCTTTAACTCTAACTCTATTTGAAACCCCTGACCTAATCCCATTTACTTCTCTCCATTTACTTCTACCCTCTACAAATATGAAAAATAAACATCATTTAACTTACACTTCGTCTGTGTTTGCAATGATCATCACTGCGTTTAGATTTGTGCGCATCATCCCCATCAGAGCATATCTTAGAAGCTTCATTTCCACAGCTACAAATAAAGACCCTTAATATTACACCTGTTATATAAACATTAAAATTAAAACACCATTAACCCTTAAACTGTCCAAACAGATCTATATTCACATGCGTAGTGCTCCAAAAGTAGATCTACGTTTTTTTTTACATATTTTCAAATATAACAAAAAAAAAAGAAGATCTACGTTTTTTACATACTTTCAAATGTTGAAAAAACGTAGATCTACGTTTGGACAGTTTAAGGGTTAAACAAAGTCATACAATTTAGGTAACAAAAGAAGTGCAATTAAACAAAAGTTCATCAACATATTCATAAAGTATTTAATTCATTTATCTTTCATGATCTTTTTTATTTAAAAATGCAGTTTTAACCTTTAAATACATCGCCCCTAGAGCATGCAAGTACATTCTATCATCTAATCTAAGAATGATTACTGAACACCTTTAAGCAATAGCTTACTTGTAATTTTGAATGTATATGACTGGTGCTGTAGTATTTAGGAGTCGTTCATCTGTGGCTTGGGCAAACTGGCTTCTCTGGTGTTCGGTGAGAGTGTCATCAGTGTTGGTCTTACTAAGTTTATCATGAGTTAAAGCTGCAGTTGGTACTGACTCATAAATGAGAGTAACCTTATTATCACTCTTTTCTGTCTGCACTGAAACATGCTTAGTGCTAGTGTGATCAAATGGAGGTTGTTTAATATTACTTGTAGTAATGTCTGTCTGTTTTTCACTAAATAGTTTTCTCCTCATTTTATCTCCAGGCTTTATTACCATATCTTCATTAAGAGTCTTGTTATTTAATTGGCAGGATGGCATTGTTGTTGCTCTCTCTTTGGATGGACTTTTCTTGTTTTTAGGAGTGCTCCTGGGCAATTTCCCAATCTTAGAAATGGCAAACACTGATTCAGAAAGCTCCTCTAAAGAAGAATTTGTAAGCTGCATACTTGTATTTTGCTGAGAATCATGAAAGTTATTGTTCACTAAAGGAGATATGCAGTGTTTTTCAAAATCCTCTCTTGTATTGTTCCTTGATTCTGTCTTGGTAACTGTGGCAGGTCTCAATCTAGAGCTCTTAGGCACATGATTCTTAGATGATTGCTGTGCTTGACAAGGATCTGGTGATGTGATACTCGAGTCAAATTCGGAGTCTTCTGAATGAACAGACATATCTAATGCCTTTATAGGCTTCTGTCTTCTTTTCACCTTGGAACTTAGATTATTTGAACTTGTATTACTCAGCTCTTCTTTTCTTCTTTTGCTGTGGAAGATCTCACTTGTAAGATTCATCATCTGCGATTTTATGACATTCAGATCTCTTTTAAGTTTTGATATGTTATTATAAATATTAGACGAAGCTGGTGAGCTTGTAGATGTACCTGACAGGTTAGAATTGTTTCCACTAATATATTTTGCACTGTATTTGTTAGAATTTGACTGCTTCAGTAAGCCATGCTCAACAGGCAAAAGCTCCTTGCTCCTTTTAATTTGTTCTTTCCCTACCAAGGCAGCCACATCATGATCATTGCGCCAGTCTTTACTTCTTTCTTTTGATACTCGAGATCCCTTTTCTATCATTTTCCTTGAATTCATGCTTTGATTTATATATGGAGGTTCACTAACAGAATCTGTATCTTGGCTATATAGATCTCTTTCATGAACAGCTGTCTCATTTATGTCAGAGTTTCTACTCTTGTCTCCTCTACAATAATCATCTCTCAGGCTGAAGCTGGCACTCACCGGTCTTCCGTGTCTGTGCTTCTGAACAGCACTCTGCAGTTCACTCTGACCGTAATTTTTATCTATTTTATTTTTTGAGCTGTTGTTGCTACTTCTGCTAGCAGATAAGGTTCTGTTTTTTCTATCAGTGTCAGTCACAGTTAAATCTGTACCTTGACACTCTCCAAAGTCTGGAAATGCCATATTAACAAGCTCACTTGATGGTGATGCACCTGCATTATCATTTGAATTTTTGTCTTGATGATGAGAATGTACACTACTTTTGGAGTTACTTTTATTTACATTCCTATTACCATTAGCATGTTCTTCAGGTGGACAGATTTGAGGCTCTGCCAATGTAGCTGATGCCATTTTACCATTACTTATAGCCTCTAAGCCTGAATGAAAGTTTGACATCTCAAGCTGCTCTGGCTGCTCAAGACTTGCATTATGGCTCATCCTCGTGCTTTGTTCTGAGCCAGGGCATCCACTGTCAAGGTCACGGACTTTAATTGTCCTTTCCCATGGCAGGCGAGGTGTCACACTGTTACTCCTCCATGAACACTTTGGAAGATCACACTCTAATCTATCAGATGGCAAAAGAGAGCTGCAGTCAACGCTGTGAACAGGCTGTGAATAATCATTTTTTTTGTTTCTTACACTTCTAGAGCTTCCACTAGCAGCATGATCTAGCATAAGATTTGTGCCAGTTTTGTTTGGAGTTTGAATATCAATAATTTGGTGGTCAGTCAAGCTGGTGACTGCATCAACATGAGGATCAAATGACTGGCTAGAATGCAAAGATACAATAGATGGAACTGGACTGACATTTGATGACTCATATGTAGCAATAGGCATGTCTGGGTCATTCAGTGATGCTTGCCATAACTTTACCTATTTGAAAGAAGAGAAAAATATAGTATTTTAGTAGTACCACCACAGGTAAAGATAATGTTATTCAAGCTACAGAGGTACAAAGTAGTGATACTGCTGGAGATGGAACAAAAGGGGATGATGCCCAAGGGAACAGTGTTGACTCGTTACCAGTAAAAACTGGTGGAAGCACTGATGTCCATACAGGGGAGGTAGGTAGTGAGGAAACAGAAAAAACTGCACCACAAAAAATTCTAGGAAACAAAATTCCAATCTGTGCAAATTCTATGCCTTGGGTATCTGCAGGCATGGCATATCTGGAAAAGCAGGTTGGACATGCACCTTTAACCATCCCAAAAAATGCCGCACCCACATGACAACAGGAGGGCGCAACTCCCCTTCCTGTAACTTATTTCACCCCGAAATGTATCACTCATCAGTCCATGAAAGAAAATGCTACAACATATACTGTCAGGCAAATCATCAAAAGGGGACAAGAAGACACAGGCCAGCTGGACTATGGGAAACAAAAGAGGGGAGCCATAACCTCTCCAGAGAAGGAGGGTTTTTAGTGCCAGGAAGGAAAAAAGACTGGCAAGAAATGACAGAAGTCCTACACCAACTGAAAACACTTCTGGAGCAGAGCCACAGTCATTGGCCTCCACTTCAGAACAACAGATATTAAAGCCAGCAAATAAAACCATTCCATCAACATAACGACATTTATCTTTGCAAACATACAGGGTCTAAAGCTATCAACAAACAACAAAATTCCTTACATCAAGGGACTGCTCACAGAGTCGAATGCAGTGTTGCAGCTTTCACAGAGACTCGCATAAAGGACCAATTTGACAACAAAATATGGATCCCAGGCTATAACCTATTCAGATGCGACAGATTAAACAGGCAACAAGGGGGGGTTGGTCTGTACATCACAGAGTTACTCATTTGCTCAGAACTACTAAACACCTCAAATAATGTATAGTTGAAGTTTTGGCAGTAAACCTGCCCCAAACATCTTGCTACTGGGAGATTTCAACTTGAGACATCTAAAATGGAGAAGTGTAGCAAATAATATTCTAGCTGAGATCACCCCAGGAGGCAGCTCAGATGAAAATTCACACACACACACACACACACACACACGAGCTATTAAATCTCTGTACCAAATTCACTTTAAACCAGCAAATATTAGAGCATGCATGACTAGAAAATATGGTGGACCTCATCTTCACTAACAACGATGATCTGATATGTAATATAACTGTACCAAAGACAATACACTCAGATCACAACATAATAAGAGGTGCAGACATGTATGCACAGGGATCCTGACCAGCAAAATGTGATCAGTCATGAGGGTGTCTTCACAAAATTCAACATGAATAACAAAAACATACATTGGGAACAAGTCAACCATGTCCTAAATGAAACAAGCTGGGAAGATATCCTAAATAACACGGATCTGAACCTTTGTCTAGAAAAAATTAACTCTGTGGCACTTGAGGTCTGCTCAAGGCATATTCCATTAAGAAAAAGAAAGAGAAGATGTAAACTAGAAAGAGAGAGATGCTCCTTATACAAAGGCGAAGAATCACAGAGCTGTTGAGAGGGGCCAATATATCTGAAATAAGAAGGGAAGCACTGGTCAGAGAAATAGCAAATATCAAACTTAAGCTTATGGAATTTTACAGGAGACAAGAATCTCAGGAAGAACTAAAAGTCATAAAGGAAATTGAAAAAAAAAAAAAACTTTTTCTCTTATGCCAAATCTAAGGGTAAAACAACATCCAGTATTGAACCCCAGCTTAGGCGAGATGGGGCACACACAGATGACAGCAGAGAAATGAGTGAGATACTAAAGTCCCAATATGACTCAGTGTTCAGCGAGCTGTTCCCCACACTAAGGGTTGACAATTTAAATGAATTCTTTATGACCGAGACCCAAAATCTGGTCATCTCAAAAATCTCTGACCACAAGACTTTGAAAAGGCAATGACATGCCCAGGCACTCTGTCCCAGGCCCAGACTCATGGCACTCTGTGTTCGTTAAGAACTGCAAGAAGCCCCTGTCTTGTGCCTTCAGCATTCTATGGAGAGGGAGCATGGACACAGGGGTCATCCCACACTCACTAAAAACAACAGACATAGCCCCACTCTACAAAGGTGGCAGTAGAGCAATCGCAAAGAACTACAGACTGATACCACTAACATCCCATATCATAAGAATCTTTGAAAGGGTTCTAAGAAGCAAGATTGCCAACCACCTAGATACCCATCAGTTACACAATCCAGGGCAACGTGGGTTTAGAGCAGGTCGCTCCTGCCTGTCCCAGCTATTGGACCACTATGATAAGGTCCTGGATGTTATAGAGGATAAACAAAATGCAGATGTAGTATACACAGACTTTGTGAAAGTCTTTGACAAGTGCAACCACAGTGTAATAGTGCACAAAATGCATGATAAAAAATAACAGGAAAAGGTGGTATGGATCTACAACTTCCTAACAAATAGAACACAAAGAGTAATAGTAAACAGAGTGAAGTCCCAGGCAGCTACGGTGAAAAGCTGTTCCATAAGGCATAGCACTCACTCCCATCCTATTCCTCATCCTCATATCTGACATAGACAGAGATGTAAACCATAGCTCCCTGTCTTCCTTTGCTGATGACACCTGAACTGCCAAGACAGTGTCCTCCATCGAAGACACCGCAAGGCTCCAATCGACATCAGCCAAATTTTCAAATAGGCCACTCAAAACAATATGAAGTTTAATGAAAAGAAATTTCAACTACTCAGATATGGAAAACTAGAGGAAATTAAAACTGTATCAGGGTACACAACAAATTCTAACTGTACAATAGAGTGAAAAAGTAATGTGAAGGACCTAGGAATGATAATGTCTTAGGATCTCACCTTCAAAGACCACAACAATGTATCTACCACATCTGCTAGAAAAATGATAGGATGGGTAATGAGAACCTTTAAAACTAGGGATGCCAAGCCCATGATGATTCTCTTCAGATTGCTTGTTCTCTCTAGGCTGGAATACTGCTGTACACTAACTGCCCCCTTCAAGGCAAGCAAAATTGCTGACCTGGAGAGTATATAAAGAAATTTCACAGCACACATTAAGTACGATAAAGCACCTAAATTGCTGGGAATGGTTGAAGTCCCTTGATTTGTATTCCCTGGAATGCAGGTGAGAAAGATACATGATAATATACACATGGAATATCCTAGAGGGATTAGTACCAAACTTGCACACGAAAATCACTCCCAATGAAAGCAAAAGACTTGGCAGGAGGTGCAACATTCCCCCAATGAAAAGCAGGGGTGCCACGAGTACACTGAGAGACAACACAATAAGTGTCAGAGGCCCAAGACTGTTCAACTGCCTCCCAGCACACATATGGGGGATTACCAATAGACCTCTGGCTGTCTTCAAGAACTGGACAGGCACCTAAAATCAGTACCCGACCAGCCAGGCTGCAGTTCATACGTCAGTTTGCATGCATCCAGCAGTAACAGCCTGGTTGATCAGACCCTGATCCACCACGAGCCCTGGTCTCAGACTGGGCTGGTGGGTGTTGACCCCCAAAACCCTCTCCAGGTATACTCCAGGTATCAATAAGTGTGGTGTCAAAAAATAAGAGAATATAAATGTGAAGGAAATAAACAAAAACAAGCATAACAGATTAATGGATTAATGTTAGTACAGTATACACTGGACCCTCGGTTATCAGCCACTCCGCTTATCAGCCAACTCAGTTATCGGATGGTTTTTTGGCTTCCAGTTATTGGCCATTATTTTGCTTATCGGTTTTATGGGACGCATCAAACCATCGCCGCCAGCTGCTCGCGCGTCAGTCTGGCTTTGTCTCTGGGCAAGTGAGGAAGCTTCTGCTCATTCATCCAAACATTTTGCAGGGAGGTAGGGTGTAGCAGGGAGCGTAGGAAGAAGGCAGGGAGTGTAGAAGGCATGCAGGGAGTGTAGCAGGCATGCAGGGAGTGTAGCATGGAGGGAGTATAGCAGGGAGGCAGGGAGTGTAGCAGGCAAGGAGAGAAGTAACCCCAGAGAGGGCTTTGATACCTGAAGTCCTTATGGAGGGAGATTCCCATTCCAAACAATAATCAGTCCTCCCTCTCTCCTCCTCCTTGTCTTCCATAAGCCAACAAGAGTCTTCAATGAAGGTATGTAATAGTGATTTATATGTTCATTTATTTACTTTTAGTTCTCTTTGTTTAGTGTATGTAAAACTATAATTAACCTTTAAAAAATGTATTTTTTGTTAATATTTTTGGGTGTCTGGTACGGATTAATTGTATTTACATTAATTCTTATGGGAAATATTATTTTAATTTTAGGCCATTTCGGTTTTAGGCTGACCTTCTGGAACAGATTACGGTCGATAACCAAGGATCTTTCTTTCATGGATGATCACTAACCTCCTAATTTTTTTAAAACACACTGGCAGGGTGACCCAAAAAATAAGAAACATTTTCACCCTCGCTCTATTACTGTCTTGCCAGAGGTGTGCAGATACTACAGTTTAGATGCCCCTCCAAACTGCAAATGTCCCCACCCTCCTTCCGAGTGCAGGCATTGTACTTCTTAATATTTAAAATAATGTTTTTATATGGGAGCTTGGGAGCTTGGAAATACAAAAAAAGAATGGCAACCTTACTCTGTGAGAGTCCAAATGAATTGATCTGATTTAGGTGCAAAATAACTTAATGATTACAAGAAATGGAAATCTCATAATTTCATATACTAATTCTTTTTTAAATAAATTGAAAACAGTGCTGCTGAATCTCTATAAGCAAAATTATACTTAACACTACATTAATGTGAGTGACAGAAAAAACATTAACAGATTCTATTAAACACCAACAAATTACCAGGAAAAGAAAGAACTTGCCTTCTCCAGAGGCCCAACAGTCTTCAGCGATTCCCTCGAGTGAGCTGGACTATAAATATTGAAAGGGCTCGTCTTGATACTCTCAGTAATAGGTCTACTGCTAAATGGGCATCCCATCATAACAGGGTCCGAATCATATGCAGGTGTTATCCCTGAAGTTTCTTTAACTTTATTAAGATTCTGCTGATGAGCTTCATTTGAAACATCAGAAGAAAGAACAGAAGCTTTGCTAGTATCAGTGTGTTGCTGGTTCTTCAGAGTTCGATTTTCCTTTGTATCGAGTATTTTTGTAACATCTTTTGGCAAATCAAACTGCTCCTTCCATAACTTCTTTGGAGAATACTGCACTGTGCACATGCTTCCTTCCTTATGTATATCATCTACTTTACTACTTAAGCGACTGTGAGTCTCAGCCTTATTTGGTGCACTTTGTATATTATTATCCAAGTCATGGCACAGTTCTTCTCTTGCTTCACCAACACCTTTTTGAGTTTCATAATTACCACTATCATCTGGATTAAATTTCCTATACCCATCTGCAACAATTCTCTCATGACCTTTCTTTCCATTATCATCATCAGTGCAAAAAGTTTTATCGAGATCAGACTTAACCGGTTCACCTCTCTCTTGATGTTGTCTAGCCACAAGGTCAAGATCAAATCTACGAGCAGTTGCCTGTAAGGCTAGTCCAAGGTCCTGGAGCAAAATACCCGGTTCATGTGAGGATGCCAAGAGTGTCAGCAATGGAAACTGATACGACAAGCGCCAATACTGCAAAAAGAGAAGGATTAAGAATTCCAATTAAAGCCCTTTATTTGATAAGTATTTTCTTTTGATTAATCTATTCTTATACCAACGGGTGTGGCTGTTCTTCTTAAACTTGTCACCAGGATATGCTAACAGGCACTGTTTTCTAACAAAGCTATATTATATAATCATACTACAGTGGACCCTCGCCTAACGAACGCATCGCATAACGTTAAATCCACCTAACGAAGCATTTGAGCCTAAAAATTTTGGCCTGCCTAACAATAAAAAACTCGCCCAACGTGATTCGTCCCGGACCTGTCCGTCCAGCCTGACTGCCTCAGCTGCCCTGCCATCATTGTTTACAAGCCAGGGTGGCCAGTTTCATGCATACATTCGATACATTTTGTATTATTCCATTGTTTATAGTGCTTGTAACTGCTAAATAAGCCACCATGGACCCAAAGAAAGCTTCTAGTGCCAACCCTGTGGTAAAAAGGGTGAGAAATACTATCAAAATACTATCGTACCATGGTCAGCTGCTGCTGCACCACCATCAGCTGTTGCTGCACCACCGTCAGCTGTTGCTGCACCACCGTCAGCTGTTGCTGCACCACCGTCAGCTGTTGCTGCACCACCATCAGCTGTACTACTCGAAGATGTGGAGAGACTGTTGTTGGTGTGGCTTAATGAGAAACAATTACCGAGAAACAATTAGCCCCAAAGGGTTAGCCACCCAGGATAACCCAAGAAAGTCAGTGAGTCATCGAGGACTGTCTAACTTATTTCCACTGGGGTCCTTAATTTTGTCCCCCAGGATGCAACCCACACCAGTTGACTAACACCCAGGTGAACATGAAAAAATGCCTGGAACTAGTGCTCATATTGGTGAATTTAAGGCCAGCAAAGGTTGGTTTGAGAGATTTGAGAATCGTAGTGGCATACACAATGTGATAAGGCATGGAAAAGATGAAAAATTCCAACCCCAACAAGTGTTCAATTGTGACGAAACAGGCCTGTTCTGGAAGAAAATACCAAACAGGACCTACATTACTCAGGAGGAAAAGGCACTCACAGGACACAAGCATATGAAAGACAGGCTAACTTTCTTGTTTTGTTGTAATGCTAGTGGGGATTGCAAAGTGAAGCCTTTACTCATGTATCACTCTGAAAATCCCAGTGTTTTCAAGAAAAACAGTGTCATCACTCATCAATACTCTTCAATAAAGGTAAGTGTCATTTTAACATTTATTTATATAGTTATTGTGCATGTCTCATTGTTTTCTTTGTAGGAAAATGTATATTTCATGAAAAAAAAAATTTTTTTAATACTTTTGGCTGTCTGGAACGGATTAATTGGATTTCCATTATTTCTCATGGGGAAAATTAATTCGGCAAACGATAATTTCGTCTAACGATGAGCTCTCAGGAACAGATTAATATCGTTAGGCGAGGGTCCACTGCATAACATGTGCAGTTCTTTATAAAATAAAGAAATTTATTTTAATCAATATGCTTCTTACCAGAACATGCTGCAGAGTATAAACTATAACTAGATGGATAACTGTGGTGAAGTCACCATCACTTATTCCCCCTTATCCCCTGAGTGAACTGAGATAGTCCAGTAGTGACTGCTTTATAATCACATGGACAAATCTTCACTCCTGGCTATGAAAATCATTGTTGCTAAATTTCTACCCCCTGACAAAATACTGTACATCTTATCACACCTGATCTAAAATGCTATGCCAGATGATGTTTCTTTCACTCTGTTGTAGTGCAGCACTTCCCTCCAGCAGAGCAAACTCTTTTATCTGTAAAATATGGTTAAAGGTATCAGAAATGTAAATAGTTAGTATGTACAATATAAATAAAAAAATACAGTATATAATACATGTATACAAAAATATAACTAGTCTACAGAATGCAGTACACTAGAGTTTTTAAAATATGAATCAAAGCTATTATAGTAATCAATGGTCTCTGTTGTCAACTGCTCCATACAGTAGTACAAGTAATCTATAGTACTGTACCAACAACCTACAGAGCTACTATACAGCATGTACCTCATAAAAGGGAAGGAAGGTTCAAAATCAAACATGAAAATGAAGTTCCTGATGTTAGATTTGGCTCATTTTGGGGTTTAAGAGGCCACGTCACTCTAAACACTGATTTGGGAATGGGGAAATCCAGAGAGTACCTCTTGAACAAAATTGCATAGTTGGTTTACAATTTAGGAGTCATGTACCAAGCCAAAACAAGACTAGTACTGTATCCTAAAAAGAAAAACAATTATAAGGTAGGACTGTCTGGAAGGAGACGAGTGCAGTGGAGGATCAGAACAGAGCTTGTAAGAACACATGAATAAAAGGCAGCCTTCCAGTCAGGTATGAGCTTGTGTCACACAATATGACAAGCCTTCCCTCTGTTACAGATAACACACCCTGCATTCCTAATTAATAATAGGATACTGACAGGAATATAAGGGATGATCCTCTACACAACTGAGATAGCAAGGCAGGGAATACTGACAGGAACCCCTCCTATGAACCACATAATCACACAAAAGACATCCAGTGGTCAAACCACCAACAGTGCCAACACTGTTGCAAAATAGGCAGCGACTCCATAAATGCTAATCTGTCAGATGGGAGGAAGCAGCAGTCAACTGTGATTTTGGCTGTATTGCTTAGATAGTGAAGGGAATGAGAGGGTCAAACAAAGTTCTCCACTTTATATAGGAAAACTCTGGTGCTCAAGCTGACTGCAGTTTTCTCTCTCACACTCCTAAAAAATTACATCTACAGTCCACAACTAAAATTTAAGATTAATGATAATGTAGGCTAAGTAGGACTTTTTTCAGGTGAATGTGAGGGAAAGAATGAATTTCCCAAGTTAACATTCACATTAAGTGAACTATTTTTGTCATGGATATAACAATGACAATTATCAGAAATAACCACAATCAAATTTTCCAGATTTTTCTAGCAAATAGATGTAGACTAGTTTCCTCAAACAAGTACTACAGTGGACCCCCTAATTTACGATATTAATTCGTTCCAGAAGGCTGTTTGGGTGCCATTACCGAACGAATTTGCTCCCATAAGGTATATTGTAAATTAGGTTAGTCCGTTTCAGACCCCTAAAAGTACACTTACAAAAGCACTTACAAAAATACACTTACATAATTGTTTGAGTTGGGAGCTGATCGTAAGTCGGGGGTCCACTGTATTAAAAAACTGGAGAAAATGTAATCACTGTACAAACTACTGTATAATTATTTAAACCATGTTACTTTACCACCTTCGAACAGTTTTATTGAATACAGTACCAACTTACCCTCTTCAGAACAGTTTGAGCATCCTTCATCCACAACTGAAGATTGATTTCGTCCCGAGAAGAACTTATCTTCTTGTCCCGGTTTCTTTGTTCATTCCCAAAGTCTCTGCTTGTTTCCCAACTCTCAAGGTCCCTGATTCTTACTCGATTCTCAGTGCCCATATTTGTCTCTTCTTTCTTCATGTTACTTCCTCTCTCTTCATTCATCAGATCCCTACTTCTCTCTTCATTATTCAAGTCCCCATTTCTCTCTTTGCTCAAGTCTTTGTTTCTCTCATCATTCTTAAAGTCCCTGCTTCCATCTTCATCTTTTAAGTACCCGCTACTTATTTCCTTACTTTCCATGGACCGGTGATTTCTTGAAGCATCCCCTGGGATGCTATCTTGGAATACATGTGAATTACTGGAGCCATAAGCAAAGCTCAAGTTTGGGTCAGCAATAGGTGTAGAGGTGGCTTTTATAAGATTGGAGTGGGATAAGTTAGGTGATAGCGATCTAATATTTGGAGTGTTTGGAGGAGTCGTTTGGTAAGATGATCTTCTTCCTGATATGTTGGGTGAAGCAAAATGAGATCTGCTAGGGGTGTTTGGTGGTGTTGTGTTATGAGAAGACCTACCACTATTAATTCTTCTGTCTTCTTCAGCTTTAAATAATAGAGTGTAGCCTTTATTTATATGTATGTCCTTGTAAAAACGAAGTCGATCAATTTCATTTTCCTTTTCAGCAAACCTGGCACTCAAATTATCAAAATGCAGTTGCAAAGCAGCAAGAGTTGCATCACTTGCATGGCGTGACTTGCGTTCAAGTATCAACATCTTTAAAATATTCTCAAGCTTTTTGGGATCAATATTTTCCCCAAATATCTGGTCTCTTATCTTTCTTATATCATCTGGCATCTCATCATCATCAAAATGAGGCAACTCCCTAAACAATGTTTCATCTGAAACTACAGCTTGAGAAGTCACTTGTGGTTTGGTTTTTCTTGCTGGTGTACAGGGAAGAGATCTCGTAGAATTTCTTATATCTTTATCTTTAACATCTTTAATGTACTGCCGAACTTTACTTGGAACTTGGCTATAATCAAGTTTTTTAGAACTTGCTAAACTTGTCATACTAGAGCTCCTAGATCTATTTAATTTATTTAAGCTAAAACTCCTGTTTCTTTTCAAATTGACCTGACCATCATTCTCATTTAATGCTATAGCACTAACACAGCGACGATTCAAACTGCCTTGACATCCAGACTCAATGTTGCATTTAATTTTTTGCCTTGGAATAGGACCAGGAGAGAGAGACTTTGCTCTCAAGCTATTTCCATCTAAATTATCACTGCTTACACTCATAGAACGACTTTTTAATCCCTGACTTTTGCACACCGAGCCATGGTTTGAGGTCAGGTTGTGCATACTCCGTGATGAATTACGGTGTAAAGTAGTTCGCACTGGACCACATGGAGTCTTAATAGTAGGTGATAATGGTGGGGTGGCACTTTTCTCAATTTTATCTACAATAAGACTACTATTCAAAAGGGGTAATTTTGCTTTTGTTCCAGACTTAGAACTATACTGGCCAACTGCATTTGTAGAATGCTGACTAGAATGTGGATAAACTGGCTCATTACTTGTTAGCAAGGAATCCTGAGTTTGTACTAAGCTGCCTCCTTGGACGGGGGAGGTACCAGTAAAGTGACTAGAATCATTATTAACTATATTAAGAGGAAGGGATGGAAAGTTCTTTTCATTTAATGGTTCTATGGCACTTTCATTGGGCACATTTTGTTCAACACTTTGGCACTCACTTCCAGAATTAGGATCATCAACTGTCCGTTTCAGCAAATCACCACTGCTACCAGAGCACAGGTCTGTTTCCCTTTCCTGTCTAGAGTTAAATTTTTCATTTTCTTGTCCTGATTCTTCTGTTCTCTCAGTTATAGCAGAGATCGGAGACTTACTTCTCAATTCCAAGACAAACTCACTGGCATCAGAAAAATCCTCACAGTATAGCTCATCAACAGAGTGGTCATTAAGGTCTAAATTTAACAACTCATCACAAGATTCATTTTCCAAGCTTGGAGGAAAATCACCCTGGCTTTGACATTCAGACTCCTGCAGAACATCTCTCTCTTTCTCTTGGCATGACAGTGAAGCACAACTACTGTCTACTTTAAGGGCATCATCCACTTTGGAATCTAATTTAATATTTTTACCATCACAGGTATCCAACAATGAACTTTCTGTTGAAGGTGCATTACCTACTGCAGAGTGGCAGAGATTTTCAGCACTAAAGAAATTAATTTTTTCCTTGGAAACTGCATCTCTATTTTCCTCCAAGCTTATGTCAAGACTGCCTGAGATTCTCTCTCCAATGGATCCTGAAAAGTTCCTTTTGGATGAAAAGCAACTAACTTTTTCACCAATGTCAGGAGACATTTCAGATGATTTGGAGAACTCTGGAGAACTGTGTTCAGTGAATGAATGTGGGCTATGTGTTATTAAATATTTATCTTCACTTAAACAAATGTTGCCATCCTCTTCTATACAGCCCATCAAATTTTGTACTTTATCTACTGGCATATCTTCTACATCTTCCTCTGTATCACATGTGTCTTCAGCTGCTAACTTACTGGATGCTTTTATCTGACTGATTTCTTTTTCACTGCAATTATTTTCACTTAATGATGATGTCTGTTTTGATTTTCTAAGTGAAGAACACGATGAACTCTGTGAAAGTGTAAGTACAATATCGCCCAAATCTTCCATTTTTTCTTGAGAGATGATATTTTTTTCTTTCATTTTCTGTGACAAATCTTTTAACTTATTTTTATGAAATGGAGTGTTTTCCTTCTGAATTGCTGGTAAATGTTTTGACATGTTCTTTGTAATTTTTTCAAAGGTTAAATTTTCTTTACTCTTTAGAATTTTTCTTTCCTCAAAATCTAGTTCAGTGTCTACTGATGAGCCTCTTGACAAACACGCACCAATTTTTTCCAACGAATCTTTTACTCTTGGAGACAATTTACCAAGCTTTTTGGGTGATTTTCTAGGCCCTTTATTACATGAATAGTCTTTCCTTTCTTGCCTATTGAAATAGCCAATCTTACCAGACACACAGTCTTTGCTTGTACAAGAACTGGGGTTCTCTTCACACAATAAAGAACTTTGCTTGCCATTTTGCAGTGACATAAATGAGTTTACCTCAGAAGATATGGCTGGGGAAAGGGTCACAGGTAAAGATGGTCGTCTAGAGACTGCTTCAGAAGTTTTATTATTTGGTTCATCATTTTGCAAACTAAATTGCTTGACTAAGCTGCCAACCTTATGAGCTGAATCAAAAGAAAATATAGTCAGCTTAGGAATACTCACTGCAACTTCACTCACTGATCTATCTTCAATATATTCACTATTACTTCCAGTGCTATGAGTTTTGGAATCTTCAGCAGACCAATCACTTGATACTGGAGAGGCATCTGCAGAACTTATATGATCACTTTCTGAATGGCTTTTGAAAGTGGGAGATTTTGATAAATGATCAATATGCTGTGATAAAGAGTTATATGATGTGCTAGGTTCCATCTTCTCCTCCTCTCCCAGCTTCTTCTCTTTTTGGAAATTTTCATTTTTGTTTTTCAGAAGGTCGAATACATTTTCTGCATTATCATCATTACTCTCTAAGTACAAGGATTGGTTTAACAGACCTCTGACCTCTAAAGAGAGAGGTCTTGTATTAGCAATGTCACCATGTTTATCTGCTGTAGCTCCTAAATTCAACAAGTCACTCACAATAGATGTTTCCTCTGTCTGCAAACCTACAATTGGAGGCAAAAAGAGCTCTTCTTTTGAGTCAGAGAGGCTGGCATCTTCACCGTGCTCAAGGATTTCTTCTTCAATTTCCTCATCACCACTCGACATTAGGTCATGTTCTTATCATCACAAGCTTGTCTGCAATTACAAAAAAAAAAAAAAACATGAAACAAATATTACAATGACTCTTCATAATACTATTACCAAACAAAATTCTGGCAGTTTCAAAAAGAATTTGCATTAATCATACAGTGAAGGCACTTAATGGATTTTCTTTTAATATTCATTGACGTGACTGGCAACTCAAGAAAAGATATGAATACATATGGAGAGAAATTACAAATAAAGACAGCTAATGGTTACATGTGAACTATAAATACACTATAGATATTGTATACAGTATACCTAAGCAGGAAGACTCATGCACTTTCTTTATCTAGATTGAAGTACAGTACAATACTGCATGTACACAATATTTTTCTGCTACATTCAAGGAAAATTTTTGAACATATTCAACTGCAGTACATTATTATTATTATTATTATTATTATTATTATTATTAACACAATGGCCGACTCCCACCAAGGCAGGGTGGCCCAAAAAAGAAAAACTTTCACCATCATTCACTCCATCACTGTCTTGCCAGAAGGGTGCTTTACACTACAGTTTTTAAACTGCAACATTAACACCCCTTAGTTTCAATATATCATGGAATTACCCAGATAACTGCAATGAAATCTCTGTACCAGACTTTCGCTTTTGCCGATTACATGGGACTGAAAAATTACCTGGGTGGGCTAAATTGGGATGACCTGACTATGGATCAGGTAGGTGGTCTTAGTTGCCAATATGACGTTTTTCAGAGCATAGTTCTAGCTGCCCAGACAACTTTTGCTCCGAGTAGGGAAATTAGATAAGAGATAAGATAAGATAAGATTTCGTTCGGATTTTTAACCCCGGAGGGTTAGCCACCCAGGATAACCCAAGAAAGTCAGTGCGTCATCGAGGACTGTCTAACTTATTCCCATTGGGGTCCTTAATCTTGTCCCCCAGGATGCGACCCACACCAGTCGACTAACACCCAGGTACCTATTTGCTGCTAGGTGAACAGGACAACAGGTGTAAGGAAACATGTCGAAATGTTTCCACCCGCCGGGAATCGAACCCGGGCCCTCCGTGTGTGAAGCGGGAGCTTTAGCCACCAGGCCACCGGGCCACCCTTTAGCCACCAGGCCACCGGGCCTGGTGGCCTGGATGAACAATAGATGAAAACATCTCACTGGTCAAAAGAGAGGCATATATAGGCATATCAGAAGAGGGGATGGGCAATTAAGAAATCAATATATTCAATTAAAGAGAGAAATAAAACAAGGAATAATAAAAGCAAAAAGGGATGATGAGGCTAAGGTCTTAAGGGATTTGAAGACTAACCCAAAAGGGTTCTTTCAGGTATACAGAAGTAAGATTAGGGACAAGATAGGCCCACTTAAGAGTAACTCAGGTCAGATCACTGACAGTGATAGGGATATGTGTGAAATTTTCAATACTTATTTCCCCTCAGTTTTTACCCAGGAAAATACAAGCGAAATTCCAGAAATAATAGATTACGTCGAGAACAGGACGATAATAAACTATGCACAATTGCGGTAACTAGCGATATGGTCCTCAGACAAATAGAGAAATTGAAACCTAACAAATCCCCAGGCCCTGATGAACTGTTTGCAAGGGAGTTAAAGGAATGTAGAGGAACTTAGCATACCTTTGGCTAATCTTTTCAACATATCACTACAAACTGGCGTAGTGCCTAAGTGGAAAATGGCAAATGCAATACCTATTTACAAGGCAGGCGACAGGTCCTTAGCTTCAAACTATAGACCAATAAGCCTTACCTCCATAGTGGGAAAATTTATGGAATCAATAATTGCCGAAGCTATTTGTAGCCATTTTGAAAGGAATAAACTGATTAATGAATCTCAGCATGGTTTTACAAAGGGGCATTCCTGTCTTACGAATTTACTAACTTTCTTCACTAAGGTATTTGAGGAGGTACATCATGGTATTAAATATGATATTGCATATATGGACTTCAGCAAGGCTTTCGATAGAGTTCCACATCAGAGGCCATCGAGGAAACTTAAGGCACACGGAAAAGGAGAAGAAATTTTTTCCTGGGTAGAGGCATGGTTGACAAATAGACAGCAGAGAGTTTGCATAAATGGGGAGAAATCAGAATGAGGGCACGTCACAAGCGGTGTTCCATAAGGGTCAGTGTTCCACATGTGTCAGTGTTGGGCCCCTTGTTGTTCAAAATCTACATAAATGACATAGATGAGGAAATAAATAGCGACATAAGCAAATTTGCTGATGACACCAAAACAGGCCATCCAATTCATTCTAATGAGGACATTAGAGCACTCCAGGATGATTTGAATAGACTGATGCAGTGGTCGGAGAAGTGGCAGATGCAGTTTAATATAGACAAATGCCAAGTTCTAAATGTTGGACAGGAAAATAACCATGCCACATACAAACTAAATAATGTAGATCTTAATATTACGGACTGCGAAAAGGATTTAGAAGTTCTGGTTAGCAGTAATCTAAAACCAAGACAACAGTGCATTAGTGTTTGCAATAAACCTAACAGAATCTTTGGTTTCATAGCAAGAAGTATAAATAATAGAAGTCCTCAGGTTGTTCTTCAACTCTATAGTATATCTTTGGTTAGGCCTCATTTAGATTATGCTGCACAGTTTTGGTCACTATTACAGAATGGATATAAATGCACTGGAAAACATACAAAGGAAGATGACAGAGTTGATCCCATGTATCAGAAATCTTCCCTATGAGGATAGACTGAGGACCCTGAATCTGCACTCTACAAAGGCGTAGAATTAGGGGGGATATGACTGAGGTGTATAAATGGAAAACAGGAATTAATAAAGGGGATGTCAATAGCGTGCTAAAAATATCTAACATAGACAGGACTCGCAGCAATGGCTTTAAACTGGAAAAATTCAGATTCAGGAAGGATATAGGAAAGCACTGGTTTGGTAACAGAGTTGTGGATGAGTGAAACAAACTCCCGAGTACCGTCATAGAGGCTAAGATATTGTGTAGTTTTAAAAATAGGTTGGATAAATACATGAGTGGGCGTGGGTGGGTGCGAGTTGGACCTGACTAGCTTGTGCTACTAGGTCGGATGCCGTGCTCCTCCCTTAAGCGACATGTCTGACCTCACAAGGTCAAGGCACTGGCTTAAGGCGGTGAGAGAACTGGACCTGCCTCGCATAGGCCAGTAGGCCTGGTTGCAGTGTTCCTTCTTTCTTATGTTCTTATGAGGAAGCACTAAACCCATACAGATCATACAATGCCTGTAAAGTTCTCAGAAAAGAACTAAATACACAATAATGGATTTTCTATATACAGTACAACAATTTAAATTACAGGCACATTATTATATTCACAAAAAACTCTTTAAATGTATATGAGGAAGGTGGCAACAAGTAAGAGGGAGGTGAAAGTGTATAAACTAAGGGAGGAGGAAGTTCGTGCGAGATATAAGCGACTATTGGCAGAAAGGTGGGCTAGTGCAAAGATGAGTAGTGGGGGGGTTGAAGAGGGTTGGAATAGTTTTAAAAATGCAGTATTAGAATGTGGGGCAGAAGTTTGTGGTTATAGGAGGGTGGGGGCAGGAGGAAAGAGGAGTGATTGGTGGAATGATGAAGTAAAGGGTGTAATAAAAGAGAAAAAGGTAGCTTATGAGAGGTTTTTACAAAGCAGAAGTGTTATAAGAAGAGCAGAGTATATGGAGAGTAAAAGAAAGGTGAAGAGAGTGGTGAGAGAGTGCAAACGGAGAGCAGATGAAAGAGTGGGAGAGGCACTGTCAAGAAATTTTAATGAAAATAAGAAAAAATTCTGGAGCGAGTTAAACAAGTTAAGAAAGATTGGGGAAAGTATGGATTTGTCAGTTAAAAACAGAGTAGGGGAGTTAGTAGATGGGGAGATGGAGGTATTAGGTAGATGGCGAGAATATTTTGAGGAACTTCTAAATGTTGAGGAAGAAAGGGAGGGGGTAATTTCATGCACTGGCCAGGGGGTATACCATCTTTTAGGAGTGAAGAAGAACAGAATGTAAGTGTGGGGGAGGTACGTGAGGCATTACGTAGAATGAAAGGGGGTAAAGCAGCTGGAACTGATGGGATCATGACAGAAATGTTAAAAGCAGGGGGGGATATAGTGTTGGAGTGGTTGGTACTTTTGTTTAATAAATGTCTGAAAGAGGGGAAGGTACCTAGGGATTGGCGGAGAGCATGTATAGTCCCTTTATATAAAGGGAAAGGGGACAAAAGAGATTGTAAAAATTATAGAGGAATAAGTTTACTGAGTATACCAGGAAAAGTATACGGTAGGCTTATAATTGAAAGAATTAGAGGTAAGACAGAATGTAGGATTGCGGATGAGCAGGGAGGCTTCAGAGTGGGTAGGGGATGTGTAGATCAAGTGTTTACATTGAAGCATATATGTGAACAGTATTTAGATAAAGGTAGGGAAGTTTTTATTGCATTTATGGATTTAGAAAAGGCATATGATAGAGTGGATAGAGGAGCAATGTAGCAGATGATGCAAGTACTATATGGAATAGGTGGTAAGTTACTAAATGCTGTAAAGAGCTTTTATGAGGATAGTGAGGCTCAGGTTAGGGTATGTAGAAGAGAGGGAGAATACTTCCCGGTAAAAGTAGTGTAAAGCAAACTGTAGTGTAAAGCACCCTTCTGGCAAGACAGTGATGGAGTGAATGATGGTGAAAGTTTTTCTTTTTCGGGCCACCCTGCCTTGGTGGGAATCGGCCAGTGTGATAATAAAAAAATAAATAAAAGTAGGTCTTAGACAGGGATGTGTAATGTCACCATGGTTGTTTAATATAATTATAGATGGGGTTGTAAAAGAAGTAAATGCTAGGGTGTTCGGGAGAGGGGTGGGATTAAATTATAAGATAAGATAAGATAAGATAAGATTTCGTTCGGATTTTTAACCCCGGAGGGTTAGCCACCCAGGATAACCCAAGAAAGTCAGTGCGTCATCGAGGACTGTCTAACTTATTTCCATTGGGGTCCTTAATCTTGTCCCCCAGGATGCGACCCACACCAGTCGACTAACACCCAGGTACCTATTTGCTGCTAGGTGAACAGGACAACAGGTGTAAGGAAACGTGTCGAATGTTTCCACCCGCCGGGAATCGAACCCGGGCCCTCCGTGTGTGAAGCGGGAGCTTTAGCCACCAGGCCACCGGGCCTGGTGGCCCGGTGACACAGGTACTTTTTGCTGATGATACTGTGCTTATGGGAGATTCTAAAGAAAAATTGCAAAGGTTAGTGGATGAGTTTGAGAATGTGTGTAAATGTAGAAAGTTGAAAGTGAACATAGAAAAGAGTAAGGTGATGAGGGTATCAAATGATTTAGATAAAGAAAAATTGGATATCAAATTGGGGAGGAGGAGTATGGAAGAAGTGAATGTTTTCAGATACTTGGGAGTTGACGTGTCGGCGGATGGGTTTATGAAGGATGAGGTTCATCATAGAATTGATGAGGGAAAAAAGGTGAGTGATGCGTTGAGGTATATGTGGAGTCAAAAAACGTTATCTATGGAGGCAAAGAAGGGAATGTATGAAAGTATAGTAGTACCAACACTCTTATATGGATGTGAAGCTTGGGTGGTAAATGCAGCAGCGAGGAGACGGTTGGAGGCAGTGGAGATGTCCTGTCTAAGGGCAATGTGTGGTGTAAATATTATGCAGAAAATTCGGAGTGTGGAAATTAGGAGAAGGTGTGGAGTTAATAAAAGCATTAATCAGAGGGCAGAAGAGGGGTTGTTGAGGTGGTTTGGTCATTTAGAGAGAATGGATCAAAGTAGAATGACATGGAAAGCATATAAATCTATAGGGAAAGGAAGGAGGGGTAGGGGTCGTCCTCGAAAGGGTTGGAAAGAGGGAGTAAAGGAGGTTTTGTGGGCAAGGGGCTTGGACTTCCAGCAAGCGTGCATGAGCGTGTTAGATAGGAGTGAATGGAGACGAATGATACTTGGGACCTGACGATCTGTTGGAGTGTGAGCAGGGTAATATTTAGTGAAGGGATTCAGGGAAACCGGTTATTTTCATATAGTCGGACTTGAGTCCTGGAAATGGGAAGTACAATGCCTGCACTTTAAAGGAGGGGTTTGGAGGGATATGTTGTGTATCTTTATACGTATATGCTTCTAAATTGTTGTATTCTGAGCACCTCTGCAAAAACAGTGATAATGTGTGAGTGTGGTGAAAGTGTTGAATGATGATGAAAGTATTTTCTTTTTGGGGATTTTCTTTCTTTTTTTGGGTCACCCTGCCTCGGTGGGAGACGGCTGACTTGTTGAAAAAAAAAAAAAAAAAAAAAAAGTCATTCAGCTTCTATAGGAGTCCATGTAAGAAACATTAATTTATTTTATATTAATTTACTAATTTTAGATATTAAATACAGTACTGCATGACCCTAGTAGGTTTAGCACTTCTTTTATAGTAATAATAATAAATTATGTACAAAATATCCATAAATTGGAAAACAAGAATGTTCTTCAACAGATAATAATAATGAATGAGCTCATATTATTTAGAAATATTATAATTAAATCTTATTTTGTTTCTAACTATTTTTACGCCACATTATTTAGTAATGAAGTATTTGGTAAAGGCTTAAGTAATGTTTACCTAAATGAATAAATTTTAATATACAGTAATAAAAACTAGCAAAGTACCAGCAAAGTTATGATTCCTAAATTTATTTGCATCAAATTTTATTTGAATTTTAGTTGTATCAAAACTGTAACCAAATGAAATGTAAATAACTACTTTAACTTCTATGTATGTTTAATAAAATAAAGATTTTATATATTTTTTTTTTTGTTTTGTTTTACTGAGTGACTAGTTTTGATCATTGTTCCTTATCCAGGACATGTTTTGCAAGGTTAGGAAGGTTGAAACAAAAATTCTAAAAATCTATCAATATTGACCTAGCCTATTTTAGAAATTGGTAAGAATCTCTTATACTCTACACTTTTTCTTTTTTTTTTTAACAAGTCAGCCGTCTCTCACCGAGGCAGGGTGACCCAAAAAGAAAGAAAATCCCCAAAAAGAAAATACTTTCATCATCATTCAACACTTTCACCTCACTCACACATAAGATAAGATAAGATAAGATAAGATTTCGTTCGGATTTTTAACCCCGGGGGGTTAGCCACCAAGGATAACCCAAGAAAGTCAGTGCGTCATCGAGGACTGTCTAACTTATTTCCATTGGGGTCCTTAATCTTGTCCCCCAGGATGCGACCCACACCAGTCGACTAACACCCAGGTACCTATTTGCTGCTAGGTGAACAGGACAACAGGTGTAAGGAAACGTGTCGGAATGTTTCCACCCGCCGGGAATCGAACCCGGGCCCTCCGTGTGTGAAGCGGGAGCTTTAGCCACCAGGCCACTGTTTTTGCAGAGGTGCTCAGAATACAACAGTTTAGAAGTATATACGTATAAAAATGCACAATATATCCCTCCAAACTGCCAATATTCCAAACATCTCCTTTAGAGTGCAAGCATTGTACTTCCCATTTCCGGGGCTCAAGTCTGGCTATTTAAAAATACTCTACACAAAGTAAGTTATTTAAGCTGGTTTAAGTGTCATAGATAATAATTTGTACTGATGTTATCTACTAGACTAACATATCACCATTCCTATAAGTTTATTTAGGTACAGGTGCACATAAATACAGTTACACAAATTATCATCCACATGAAATTAAGTAACATACGTTTGTGTAAATTACCTAGGATAACCCAAAAAAGTCAGTTACATATTTCCATTGGGGTCCTTGTAATATCTTATTATTTAAACTTTAAAAGTTAAAACAGCTAAGTACCCTAACTGTGTGAAAATGAGTTACAATAAAAGGTGACATACTAAGAATAAGGCAAACTGAGTTATTAACATCATAATTTGTTGCAAAACTTAAGCACACTACCTCAACCACAAAACTGTATATAATTTATTTATTACCTTCCCTTTGAAAAAATAATATAATAAGAAATTACTGTCACTTATATTCAGGCAAATAACACTAAACCACAAGGGTCATACAACGCTGTCATGTACTTGACAATACTAAATTATAGTGCTTAACTGTTATTTGTTTACTGTAATTTTTACCACTGAATATATCATTGCTTAGTTAATCATAAGTTAATGCCTAGGCATTAACTATTGTAACTACAAAATCTCAATGTACTGTTTGCAAAGACATAAAATAAATAAATAAATAAATAAATAAATAAATAAATAAATAAATAAGCCTGCCCATAATGCTCTGCATACAAGGGTTTTTAGGCATGTACACTTAACCACTGTATTTCTTTGTACATCTATGTATCATGTCCAAATTAATAATAAATAAATAGTAGTTTTCATTTAAGGTTATATTCTACATAATTTGGTTCTATATGCCAAATTATGTAGATTGTAATCTAGCATAATCCTGGCCTCATTTCTCTGGTTCAAGAGCCCTTCATCAGTATCATGACACCTCTTTCAAATTATTATTATTATATTTTGGAAGAAGAGCCAAAACCGTATGAATTATAAGCACCTGGATTATGGGAGGCAATCAGATTCGATCCAGGGAAGAGGAGACATGTTCAATTCCTTGGATCAAGAACCCCTCACCAGCATCAAGGAACCTCCCTTGATTGGATCCTCACATTAAATGACAAGAATTAGAACTGAATCACTAGTGACGTAATTCCTTGTTGAGGGGCTCTTGATCCAAGAAACTGGACTTATCCTTCCCTGCCTTGAATAAAACCTGAATGCCTCCCTTTCCCATAGTACCCCATGACTCCTGTGGGTTTAGCACTTCCCCTTTGATTAAAGTGGACATTATTATTATTATTAAGGGGAAAGCGCTAAACCCGTAGGATTATACAGCGCCTGGGGGGGGGGGATGTGGAAAGTATTCAGGCTTAATTCAGGGAACTGGAGCACAGATCCAATTCTCTAAATCAAGAGCCCCTCACTAACATCAAGGAACCTTCCCTGTGGGGGGAAAGTGGAAAACAAATACTAACGTGATATTTATTTATTTATTTATTTAGAAATTTAAGCATACACACAGAGGTACAAAAAAAAAAATACAGGTAAGAGCAGCATGCCAAAGCCACTTATATGCATAACATTACGGGCTGGCTTAAAATTAACTTAAGATTAACTAAGCAATGATGAAATCAGTGATAAGACATTATTGTAAACAGATAACTATAAAGCACAAATGATTATTACAGACAGCTCATATGGTTGCATGCATTGCTGTTCATTCAGTAGAATGGAGTATTCTGTTAGGTAGTGTATAGTACAAAGTTAGTCAGTGTTGTAGTGCATTACACAGGTGATGACAGGAGCCACACACACACACACACACGTGTTAACACTGATTATCTACTGGTGAAAAGGACAAGAGGTCAGTGAAAAAAAAACAGGAGGCAGCTGAGAGAGATACACACCTTCCCCCCTGACTGGCCCGTCAACACTACCCTCATATACGCACATGTATATACACACAACTGCTGTGTCGTCTGCTCTCATACACACACAAGTGTACACACAAGTGTACATAAATACACAAAGAAAACATTCACACTGGTGCCAAATTTCCCAATGTGAAGTAATATTTTTTTCATATGTACACTTAAAATGGTGTGTATTTTTTCAGTCTTATATTAGTTAATTTATGCCTGTATTGTTGTAGTAGTTATTATTTAATGTTAGGCAACTTGCTGTAAGGAATTTGGCACATGGCCTACATATATTTGGAGCACATATTTATAAATCTATTTTCCAATAACACGTAAATCAGTTCATTTGAAATTACACCAATACTTATTAAAAATAGCATTTTTTCACGAATTCTTTGTTATTAGTACTACATTCTTAAGGAGCTCTAAACCCGGAGGCTCTGGTAGCCTGGTGGCTAAAGCTGTCGCTTCACACGGGGAGTGTCTGGGTTCGATTCCCAGTCAGGGTAGAAACATTGGGAGTGTTTCTTTACACCTATTGTCTATGTTCCCCATCAGTAAAATGGGTACCTGGTGTTAGTCAACTGGTGTGGGTCGCATCCTGGGACAGTGACCTAATTTGCCCGAAATGCTAGCATAACAAGTGGCTTTCTATATTATTATTATTATTATGTAAGGGAGTACCTAGGGGTACGTGAGGCAATTAGATTCGACCCAAGGAAAGGGATGTCGCATCCGATTCTTTGGATCAAGAGCCCCTCACCGGTATCAAAAGGCCTCCCTTGAGGAGATATTAGTTTGGAACTATCTCGGATCAAACCTGATTACCTCTTATCCCTCCCCAAAGCACTTACAGATATAGTGCCTGCCCTTGAATATAGCAGCAGTTGTACCATACTAGTTCACTTCACTTAATAATTGTGTTACAATAATAATCATAAGTTAACGTTAAATTCAAGTCATGGGAATGGGAGGTAATTAGGTCCTTACATTATTATTATAATCAAAAAGAAGCGCTAAGCCACAAGGGCTATACAGCAGGTCCTTACATTGAGCCAGGAGAAGGGTGCCTTGCCCTTGATACTGGCCAGGGCTCAATACAAGGCCCTAAGAAACCTCCCATTCCCATGCGACATTATTATATTCATAGGCAGGTATTATTCCATAAGTCACAGTGGGGAATGGGAAGTAATTTTTTTTTTTTTTTTTTATTCTGAGGAAGAGGGTAGCTCTATTGTCAATTCTATGGTTCACCTAGTCTTTCATAAACCTATCTGCTGACAAGTCCTCTCCCAAATATGTGAGCATATTCACTTTTCCATCTTTCATTACCTAATTTTGTTACTTTCATCGCTTTGTTCTTTCATATGTTTACTTTCAATATCCTTTCGCATCTTTTACATGGCCTCCCAAATTGAATTATTATAATCATGGGGGATCACTAAACCCGTAGGATTATACAGCACGTGGGGGGGGGGGGATGGAAGGCATTCAGGCTCAATCAGGGAACTGGAGCACAGATCCAATTCCCTAGATCAAGAGCCCCTCACCAGCATCAAAGAACCTCCCTTGTGTAGTTCAACTGGGCTTGGTAGGTAGTTAAGGGAGACCTAATTTAACCAGTTATATGGCCACACCTTGCCTTGGCAAATAGCTGTCAGACACGCCTTTCGGCTTAAGTCTGAGGTCTTTTGTTCTTGATGGCATCAGATCTCGGCGTCAGGTCAAAACACGTGGTGCACACCCCATTGTGGGGGGTGCTTTGAGGATCATAAAAGCCCAAGGAACAGCTAGAGCAGAGAGATTTGAGCGGAGCTGCTGCCGGTGTGCAGAGCTGAGCAGGAATCAAGAGGAGCTGTGGCCTGTGGGCAGAGCTGAGCTGGAGAGTCTTGGGAGGAGACTCTGTTGGAGACATTGGGCAGAGTACTGGCTTGGAGCAGTACACGTGCTGTGTAGGCCTTGGGACCTGTGGCTAGTGTTTGACTTTGTTCCTGTGGTGAACTGTCCCCTGAACTATATTGTAAGTTATATTCTGTTTGGCCAGTTGATTGTATTCCCTGTCTCACTGCTTATGTGTACCAGCCCCATTTATCTAAACCCCAATAATGTTCTCCTGTTCCCAAATATATTATTGTACAAGGACTTAATAATAAACTGTGTTTGAGTGGAATAGTAATACTCACTGTCCCCATTCTGTATTTATATTTCTTATAGTGGGGAATCAAGTGTAGTCAAAGATAAGATAAAACCAATATTGCAAACTAGAAATACCACAGGAAATAGCAAACAAGAGGACTCCACTAGCAATAGTGAGGATATATTACCAAAAACAACTGGTGGGAGCTCCTTTGTTGGTGCTAGGGAGGATAGGAATAAGACAGGGAAACATGCACCAACAGGGAATACAGTCACAGAAACCCAAGGAAAACATGCACCAACAGGGAATACAGTCACAGAAACCCAAGGCAAACAGAAACCAAGCCTGTGCACATACTATGCACTTGGTATCTGCAGGCATGGGAAATCTGGAAAAACAGATAGGACGTGCAACTATGACCACCCTAGAAAATGCCGTGCCCATATGACAACAGGAAAATGCAAACTCCCTTCCTGTAAGCTTTTTCACCCTGAAATGTGTCCCTCTTCAGTACAGGAAAGACTGTGCTATAACTTAAATTGCCAGGCATACCATCTAAAGGGGACAAAAAGATACAAAACATCCAGGCCATGGGAAAACCTGGGTAGCCACAGCCACTCAAGAGGGAGAGGTTTTTTAGTGCCAGGAAGAAAAAAAAAACTGGCAGGAACTGGCAGAAATCGTACACCAAATCCAGTCATTCCTGGAGTGGAACCACAGTCGATGGCCTCCACTCCAAACCAACAGATACAGATACTAATGCCAGAAAAAAAAAAAAACCAGTACCAACAATACCACTAGTCCGATGACATTCTTCTTTGCAAATATACAGGGTCTAAAGCCAGCAACAAACAACAAAATACCTTTCATCCGTGGACTGCTTGCAGAGGCAAAGGCAATGTTCGCGGCTTTCACTGAGACCCACATAAAGGATCACTTGGACAACGAAATATGGATCCCAGGTTACAACCTATACAGATGCGACAGAGTGAACAGGCAAAAGGGGGGGGGGTTGCCCTGTACATTGCAGAGTCACTTCTGTGCACAGAACTGCTGAATGCCTCAAATGATGTAGTGGAAGTTTTAGCAGTAAAGTTCGAGAACCAAAACCTAGTCATTGTGGTAGTCTACAAGCCTCCGGATGCAACATCCCAGCAATTCCAGGAACAGCTGTTAAAAATTGACCACTGTCTGGAAAATCTGCCAGCTCCTGCACCCAACATCTTGCTCCTGGGGGATTTCAACTTAAGGCACCTAAAATGGAGGAATATAGCAAATAATATTGTTGCAGTAATAACACCAGGAGGCAGCTCTGATGAAAACTCGCACTCACACGAGCTTTTAAATCTCTGCACAAAATTCAATTTAAACCAGCAAATAATAGAGCCTACTAGACTGGAGAATACACTAGACCTCATCTTCACTAACAATGATGATCTGATACGAAATGTCACCATATCAAAAACAATATACTCAGATCACAACATAATTGAGGTTCAGACATGTATGCATGGAGCCCCAGACCGACATAATGAGATTCGTCACGAGGGAGCATTCACCAAATTCAACTTCAATAACAAAAACATAAAGTGGGACCAAGTAAACCAAATCCTAACTGATATAAGCTGGGAAGATATACTAAGCAACACAGACCCCAACTTATGCCTAGAACAGATTAACTCGGTGGCACTCGATGTATGCACAAGGCTTATTCCTCTAAGAAAAAGGAGGAGTAGATGTAAAATAGAAAGGGACAGGCGCTCCCTTTACAGGCGATGGAAAAGAATAACAGAGCGGCTAAAAGAGGTCAATATATCTGAAAGGCGTAGGGAGACACTGGTCAGAGAAATAGCAAGCATCGAACTTAAGCTAAAGGAATCTTATAGGAGTCAGGAATCGCGGGAAGAACTAAAAGCCATAAATGAAATCGAAAGAAACCCAAAGTATTTCTTCTCCTATGCCAAATCAAAGTCAAGAACAACGTCCAGTATTGGGCCCCTACTTAAACAAGATGGGTCCTACACAGATGACAGCAAGGAAATGAGTGAGCTACTCAAGTCCCAATATGACTCAGTTTTTAGCAAGCTGCTAACCAGACTGAGAGTCGAAGATCAAAATGAATTTTTTATGAGAGAGCCACAAAATTTGGTTAACACAAGCCTATCCTATGTTATCCTGACGCCAAATGACTTCGAACAGGCAATAAATGACATGCCCATGCACTCTGCCCCAGGGCCAGACTCGTGGAACTCCGTGTTCATCAAGAACTGCAAGAAGCCCCTATCACGAGCCTTTTCCATCCTATGGAGAGGGAGCATGGACACGGGGGTCGTCCCACAGTTACTAAAAACAACAGACAGCCCCACTCCATAAAGGGGGCAGTAAAGCAACAGCAAAGAACTACAGACCGATAGCATTAACATCTCATATCATAAAAATCTTTGAAAGGGTCCTAAGAAGCAAGATCACCACCCATCTAGAAACCCATCAATTACACAACCCAGGGCAGCATGGGATTAGAACAGGTCGCTCCTGTCTGTCTCAACTATTGGATCACTACAACAAGGTCCTAGATGCACTAGAAGACAAAAAGAATGCAGATGTAATTGATACAGACTTTGCAAAAACCTTCGACAAGTGTGACCATGGCGTAATAGCGCACAAAATGCGTGCTAAAGGAATAACGGGAAAAGTCGGTCGATGGATCTATAATTTCCTCACTAACAGAAGACAGAGAGTAGTAGTCAACAGAGTAAAGTCCGAGGCAGCTATGGTGAAAAGCTCTGTTCCACAAGGCACAGTACTTGCTCCCATCTTGTTCCTCTTCCTCATATCTGACATAGACAAGGATGTCAGCCACAGCACCGTGTCTTCATTTGCAGATGACACCCGAATCTGCATGACAGTGTCTTCCATTGCAGACACTGCAAGGCTCCAGGCGGACATCAACCAAATCTTTCAGTGGGCTGCAGAAAACAATATGAAGTTTAACGATGAGAAATTTCAATTACTCAGATAGGGCAATCACGAGGAAATTAAATCGTCATCAGAGTACAAAACAAATTCTGGCCACAAAATAGAGCGAAACACCAACGTCAAAGACCTGGGAGTGATCATGTCGGAGGATCTCACCTTCAAGGACCATAACATTGTATCAATCGCATCTGCTAGAAAAATGACAGGATGGATAATGCGACCCTTCAAAACTAGGGATGCCAAGCCCATGATGACACTCTTCAGGTCACTTGTTCTATCTAGGCTGGAATATTGCTGCACACTAACAGCACCTTTCAAGGCAGGTGAAATTGCTGACCTAGAAAATGTACAGAGAACCTTCACTGCGCATAACGGAGATAAAACACCTGAATTACTGGGAGCGCTTGAGGTTCCTGAACTTGTATTCCCTGGAACGCAGGCGGGAGAGATACATGATTATATACACCTGGAAAATCCTAGAGGGACTAGTACCGAACTTTCACACAAAAATCACTCACTATGAAAGCAAAAGACTTGGCAGACGATGCAACATCCCCCCAATGAAAAGCAGGGGTGTCACTAGCACGTTAAGAGACCATGCAATACGTGTCAGGGGCCCGAGACTGTTCAACTGCCTCCCAGCATACATAAGGGGGATTACCAACAGACCCCTGGCAGTCTTCAAGCTGGCACTGGACAAGCACCTAAAGTCGGTTCCTGACCAGCCGGGCAGTGGCTCGTACGTTGGTTTGCGTGCAGCCAACAGTAACAACCTGGTTGATCAGGCTCTGATCCACCAGGAGGCCTTATCCACAGACCGGGCCGCGGGGGCGTTGACCTCCGGAACTCTCTCCAGGTAAACTCCAGGTATA